CCTTCCTGCCCTTCCGGCTTTGGTAACCGTAAGTTTGTTTTCTGTCTGTGAGTGTTCTGTTTTGTAAATGAGTTCATGTGTGTCATTTTTTTAGATTCCACGTACAGGCGATAACATACTTGTCTTTCTCTGTGTGACTTGCTTTACTTAATATTTTTTTTCCTTCCCTTTTATATTCGGCTTGTCTCTGTATTTAGAGCACACCTCTTGTAGAGCCGTGCTTTTTTTTTCTCTAATCAGGAAACTGTATTTGGGGGAGGAGTGGTGATTAGGTTTGTTTTAACAGAGGGACCGAGGGTTGAGCCCCGGACCTCATGCATGCGCAGCACACACTCTCACTGCTTGAGCTACACCCTTGCCCAGAAAGCTCCATGTTCAGCTAAGCATTGGTTGGTTATGTTTTAACACAAGTGTCGGTGTGAGTGACTAGGCGTCCACTGTCTTGACTGGTCTGCTTTTGTTCGTTCTCAGCATTCCTTTTTGTTCCTTTATTGTGTTTTCTTGGGGTAATTAAATCCTTCTAGCATTCTGTTTTATTTCTTTTATTAGTTTAATTGCATCTTTTAAGGCTAACAACATGCGTCCTACATTTATCAGAGTCTGTTTACAGTCAGTGCTGCACTATTTCCACGTCACTTGTGTGATAACCGTACAGCTGTGTAATTCCAGTTACCCTTTCTTTTGTGCTGTTGTCAACAGACCTTTTCCGCATAAAAGGTACACACGTACTGTGAACCTGCTCACTAGCTACCTGTGCGGCGCACAGGCAGCTGACTTGGAAGGCCGTGACGGTGGGCGGGGCGAGTAGCCCCTCAGTCAGGCTCGCCCCCGGTGTTCGCTCCTCTCCTGCTGTGGGTCTCTGTCTCCCGTGGTGTACTTCCCTTCATTCCAGACCTGCACTCGTGACATTTCTTGTAGCTTAGGTCTGTAACGTTTCTCTTGAGTTTATTTTACCCCCAACTTTTTGTTCTTTTCCAGTCTCTTGTTGTTTTTGTGGGGGAAAGGTAACTAGGTTTACTTACCTGGTTTTTTTGACGGAGGGACTGGGGATGGGACCCAGGGCCTTGGGTGTGCTGAGCTCCCTCCACCACTGAGCGCTGCCCCCCACATCTGAACCTTTGTAAGTGTGTGCTTGCGTGGTGGTAAGTGTGCTCACATTGCTGTAGGCCATCATCATTATCCATCTCCAGGACTCTCTGACCTTGCAAAACTGACACTCTGTGCCCCTTACAGAATAACTCCCTTCCCCTCTCCCCTGGCCCCTGGCCCCCACCCTTGTGCTTTCTCTCTGTGGTCGTGACTGCTGTGGGTGCCTCACGTAAGTGAGATCATACACTACTTGTCTTCTTTGAGGCTGGCTTATTTCACTCAGCATCATGTCCTCAAGGTTCATCCGTGTTGTAGCACACGTCGGAATTCCTCTCCGTTTTAAGGCCAGATAACATTCCACTGTGTAGGTGGACCTCCATCATGGACACCTAGTTGCTTCCACCTTTTAGCTACTGTGAACCATGCTGTTATGAACATGTGGGTACAGATAGCTCTTCAAGGCTCTGCGTTCAGCCACCTTCAGTGTGAGGTGGTGTCCTGCTGTAGCTCTGATTCACGTTTCCCCAGGATGAGTTGAGAATCTTCTCATGTGCCTTTTGGCCATTTGGACATCTTCTTTGGAGGGTACTTACTTGAGTTCTGCATCAGCAGGTGTGGGGGCCTTAAGGCAGTTTCTCTGCATTGTTCCACTGTCTTCTGACTTCAGTGTTTTTGTTGAAAGTCAGCTAATCCTTCATGCCTACACGCGATTTGTCTTTTTTCCTCTGGTTGTTTCCATGATTTAATCTTTGTCTTTGGATTTCGGCCCTTTCTTCGCGGTCTTCCTGGGTGTGGTTTCCTGTGTTTATCCTGCTGGGTCCCCTCAGATGTTGGCATCTGTAGGCTGTTTTGCACTTTTCTTCCCTGTTTTCTCTGTTATCTTTCAATTTGGATAGTTTATAAAACTGACTTGTGTTCAGAGTCACTGGACGTCTTCCGTCTCCCGTTTGCTGTTAGCCGTGAGGTGCATTTTGAACCTTCCTGTCTCTGCCTTTACTCAGACGTCCCGTCCTCTGGTTTTCTTTCCACTGCTCCCCCCACCCCCACCAAGGACGCCCTGCCCGGGCCGCACGCGGAGCACAGTGTGCTTCCCCTGGGCGTGTGCAGCGAGGGGAGCGTGCAGCTCGCCTACAGTAAGGGCTCACGTTGTGGTCAGCATGAGCTCTCTTCCTGTGCCTCCGGCCCCCGTGGCCCCTTGACCTGCCTGTGCTGTGGGGGCTGAGCTGCCAGCTGCTGGGCTTCTCTAGAATGAGGCTCCTGGTCACCCAACGTCCTGAGCAAGCTCCACTAGGAAGTTTCGAAGGCAGACAGCTGCTTCCGGCCCCTGTTCTTTGCATGAGATCTGTCTGTGGCTCAGACGGACCCTAGTCCTGGTGGTCGAGCTGGCATGGCTGACTTGAGGCGCTGCCCTGCTGTCACTAGAGGCCCCTAGAAAGGTCTGAGTGATGTCGTGCACTTTAAACTTTAAATCCTTCCAAATAACTTTCTTTTGAAGAGGAAAATAGAGCAAGAAATTTCACCCAAGGGGCCGCAAAGCCCAAAGGACCCTAACAGGGGATTTCTGAGGAGACGGGGCAGTGGCCTGGCCTTTGCTCCGTCTCCGTCAGTCACGGCGTCTCTGTGCAGGACTGTCCCCCTCCTTGCCACCGAGTTGCTGGCTCGGGAGCCAGATAGATGGCTGTTGCCGGCCGCTCACAGGTTTTGGTGCAAAGAAGCAGAGCTGACGGCCAAGGGAGAGGCCGCCCTGGGCCCCTGCGCTGATGTGGGTTTGAGTCCCCACGCTGAGGGCCGGTGCTGGATCCCTGCTGGAGGCGCATCCCCAGCGTTAGGTGTTGAGTGGTGACTGTGGCCTCAGCACCTGTCATCTGGGTTCCTTGTGGGAGCTGAGCGTGGTTGCCCCCCCCCCACTTTGGAAAGGCTCGTGGGCCGAGGGTCCCCACCTGCAGGCCCCTGGGGAGGTGGCCCCTCTGCCCCACCTGGGCTCCATCTGCAGGTGTGGAGCCAGTGGGAGCTGTGCACGTGGGGCACTTTGTTTTTCTCCACCCCTCCTGTGTCCTTCCCAGAGTGGTTTCTAGCAAAAAGGCTTGACTGTTTTTAAATGGAATTCCAGAACAGGTAACATGGAATCGAAGGAGCAGGTACCGTGTGAGACTGTCCCCTCCACACGGCCTACTGTCCCTCTGCCCTCGGTCCCGTCCTCTCTGCCGGCTGCACGTCTCTTCCTGTCCTCAGTGCTGGCCCTGCCGAGTGCATTTCCTGGACGTTTGGTGTAACGTGGTCTCAGGCCACCTGGGGGCTGTGGCAGGAACCTTAGGGCAGCACTTTGCAGCCAAGAGCACGGGCCCCGGGCTCAGGTGTCTCCTGACGTGCCAGGTCGGGGTGGAGCCTGAGACCCTGCATTTCCAGCCGCCTGCGGGCGACGCTGGTGCTGCTGGCACTCAGAGCCCCTTTGAGTGCCCCTGAGACTTGGAGCCAGGCACCCCTCCTGCCTCCTCCGCTAACTGCACCCTCTGAACCCCACCAGGTTGTGTAAATGGTAATGAGCATCTTTGTCATCTGGACTTGTGGGCAGCTGCCCACACAGCTGCTCCTGGCCGCTTTCATCTGCCCTGTACCTCTGATTTTCTTGGGCCATCTTCCTGAAACCCCTGAGAACTGCCTCTCGTACTTCGTTTAAGGGTGGGGAGTCCTGCTGGTGGGGAGTTGTCTGAGTTTTTGTCTAACGATGCCTGTGTTTTGCTTTCACTTTTGAAGGGTATTTTCACTGCACCTGGAATGCTAGGGTGACGATTATCTTAATCACTTGGAAGACGTGAGTCTGTTGTCTGCTGCGTTCCATCCTTTCCGTTGAGTGTTTTGAATTCTGGACGTCTTGTGTGAACACCTGTAGCCGACTTGAGGCTTTGTGTGATGTTTTCTCCCACCCAGAGTGGTTCTCGTGCTTCTGGTGATTGGTCCAGGAAGGGCAGATCCTGTTCATTAGAGATGGAGCTGTTTTGAAACTGGACTTTCCAGACTGCTTCTGGTTAACTCTTACTCCTGGGGTGCAGCCCTGCTGGGCCCCCACCTGCAGTCTGGGGTGGTTTTCCACAGTCCCTCCTTCCAGACGGGCTCCAGTTCTAGAGTGTCTCCCATGTGTCATACTCCATGGCCCGGGAGCGCCCGGCTGGTTCTCCCCCTACCCCGGCCCCGTCCTGTCCCCTCAGCCTCCAGGTGGCCTCTTAAAGTCACACCAGCCTTGGGATGGACGGTTGCTCCAAGCTGGGTCTCCCCTCTGCCCTCCCTTCTCTCTGAGACCTTGGGCCTTTTCGCCTGGGTGGCTCTCTGATGCCCTTTAAATAGACTCTGAAATCTGGCTTCTCTGGTTTTTCCTCCACTGGAGGGTTTGTCAGTGACGGAGCAGCTGGCTGTGGCCTGTCCGCACACCGTGGGTCCCCGGTGGCGACCACTGTGCTCTCACACTCTGCTCACAGACACTTCCTCACTGGGGGCTTAGTTGCTACGGGCGTGTATTCTTATTGGAAGTCGCTGCCTAATTTGTTCTGATGACTCAGGTTCCAAAAGTGCTGTTCCTGAGTTTTTCGAGAACACATTACATCAGTTCAAGTTGCAGAGCGAAAGTGAGATAGAGGAGGCGGCAGCGGAAGGTCTGCTCCTGATCCAGATAAGGCAGGGCCAGTTCCTGCTGGTCTCCTGGGAACAGCTGAGGGCAGGGAAGTCGGGACACCCCTCCGGCCATGGGCCGTGTCTGTCATCCGCCAGCAGGGACACTGCAGCTCACAGGCCTCTGATGTCTTAAGTGACATGTTGCAGCCACTGCAGGAACGCCTGGCCTGTGGTGGGACCTCTGCGGTCATTGGATCTTTGGAAGGTCAAATTTAGACATTTTGTACTTGTTTTGTTCTGCTCAGATTACGCGAAAATTCAGACTGAATTCTGAAGGCAAACTTGAACAGACGGTCTCCATGGCGACCACTACCCAGCCCCTGACGCCGCATCTCCACGTCACCTACAAGAAGGTCACCCCGTGACCCTGGTGGAGCGTCTGGCCTGCGTGCTGACACTTGGGCTTCTCAGTGGCCAGGGCGGGGGCGGCACGGGTGTTCCTGGGACGGCAGAGCAAACCAAATAAAAGGCCTTTATTTTTATGGTGGAGCATTTTGAATATTGTTGCTTGTGCAGACTCTGCATTCTTTCATCTTCTAGTGACTGTTTTCCAGGGTCTTTCCCTAAAACATCAAAGGGGGTGACTTTTTTTCTTATTCTTTCTTCCTGCAGTTTTGCCGAGATCACAGGATTTCTAAGTCTACAGTAGAGTGGACAATGATATAAGCAAAGGACGAAGGGGCTGCAGGGACAGGGCCCTCCCCAGACGAGAGGGTGGCTGGGGACTTAGCGTCATTGTGTGACTTTGTTTGCTACTCTGCAGTATAATATCCCCTTCATCTGTCTATTTACTGCACCTCACACCTCACACCTGCCCTCCTGCCTGCATCCTCCCCGCCCCGCCCCCCATCTCTTCTCCGTCCTTTAGTCCTTTATCTGGAGCATGTAAAGCAGATTCCAGACGGAATGCCATTTATCCCAAGTGCTTCAGGATGCGTGTAAAACAAAGCACTACCTTTTTTTTTAACTTAAGAGAGCTGGTAGTAACAGGATTAGGAAGTCCTTTTATTTGGGGTGGGGGGTGACTAGGTTTTTATTTATTTATTCATTTATTTATTTAATGGAGGGACTGGGGAGTGAACCCAAGACCTCGTGCATGCTAGACACATGCTCTACCGCTGAGCTCTACCCTCCCCCCAAAACAAAGCCTTTTTCTTTCTCTTAGCGCAGTATCAGAAGCCTCACCAGGAACGTAGTGTCCCCTCCAGCTGTGAACCTGTGACACCAGACAAGTTATGTGCCTCAAAGTAGCAACAGCGGGAGGGAACGGAATGAATACTCCCTTTCCTAGAAGTAGGCAAGAAGCGGCAGGTTCTGAGCAAGTCCCAAACCTCAGGGCTCCAGGTGACCCTCCTTGGCTCAGTGTCTGTCCTCCAGGCCCCCGGGGCGGTGGTCCTGCCCCCAAGGCTTTGCTGGGTGCAGCCCACACCGCAGCTCTCCTGGGCTGGAGTCATGTGCCCACGGCTCTCCCCAGGCTGGGAGTGTGCACCCAGGTCACCCTAGTGGGGACTCCCTGCCAGGGCCCACCCTTGCAGGGCGTGGGGCTCTGCCTGGGGCCTGAGCCTGAGGCTGCAGGTGGTTCCGTCCTTCACCGTCTAGGAAATGGAGCCAGGCCCCTGTGGCTCTTACATTCTGCACACTGGTACCTTGCGAGTGCCAGGCCCTGATGCCACCAACATTCATGGCTGTGCCCTCCAGAGGGGCAGCCACCCCTGCCCTGGGACAAGAACATGGGGACAGAGCCGGATCCTCAGCTGGGATGGGAGGGGCACCTCCACGATCTCCAAACTGTCTTTGAAGACATTTTTCTTGTCCTGGACCACAGTCCCTGGCTCAGCTCCGTGGGTGACAGCCGCCCCTCTGTTTGGCTACTTCGCTCCTCCTGGCTGGTCTGTACTGGCCTCCTTGTCAAATTTGGCCACGCCTTTCCTGCTCTCTCCGAGCAAGCTGTCTCCTTATTGTCAATACCCTTAGGCTGAGAATTTCCCAGAATGCTAAGCTCTGCTTCCTTTTGGGTAACAATTCTGTCGTTAAGTCTTCTTGTGTTTTACTCTAAGTGCTCAAGAGAAACAAGGCCCCTCGCTGCCTCAGCACTGAGACTTTGCTTGGAAGTTCCCTCAGCCCAGCAACCGGTTTCATCACCCGCAGAACCCTAGGTCACAAGCAGTTCCACCAAGCTCTTCGCCCCTTTTTGACAAAGCTTGTCTGTGACAGTCAGTACAGGGAGCCCTCACTAAAACAGTGAGGAGGCCAGCAGGGGTGCACCCACCCAGTCCACTGACGTCAACACAGATCCCAGAGGAGGAGACTCCCTTGCCTCTTGGGCCAGAAGCCACAGGGGGAGGAAGGAAGATTTTCTCCTTGCCCGGCAACAGCCCAGCCAATGAGAGGCTGTCACAACTCGGCCAATGAAAATCCACCGTACTTCCAACTCTGCGTTTCCTCCAGTGGACCCTTTGTTTGCAGCGGCCCTCCCGACCTCCCCCTCCTCCATAAGAGTTTCCTCTTCTCTGTTCTACCCCACTTGCATGTGGCTCACCATAGTTGCCTGTCCTGTAGTGCAGTTCTTTGCTGCTCTAAATAATCCATTTTGTTGGTTAAAAACAACAACAACAACAACAACAACAAAAACTGGCTGTTGTATGGTTTTAGATGAATACACCCGTATTTCTACCAACATTCTGTTCAGGATTACTTAGGTCTCTAGGAAGACTGAGGCTTTCTCTACGTTCTCTTTTCTTTCTGGGTCACCAGAGTCCCCCATTCATGGCATTGCAGGCTTTGCACCTTCAGACTCTTCCACCTTCTACTTCCAGAGCCACTTCCACATTTTCACATGTGTGTTGCTTCGGGCTGTCAGCTTTCTGACTTAGCCCGTTCAGGATGCTGTAACAAAAATACCAGACTGGGTGGGTTATAAATGACAGAAATTCATTTCTCACAGTTCTGGAGGCTGGAGCCCAAGGTCAAGGCACCAGCAGATTTGGGTCTGGTGAGGAGGGCCCGCTTCCTGAATTGTGGACAGCTGCCTTCCCACTGTGTTCTCCCGGGGTCGGGGGTGGGGGGGTAAGCTAGCTCTCTGGGGTCTCTGCTCTAAGGGCACAAGCTCCAATCATGAGGGTGGAGCCTGCGACTTAAATCAGCTCCCAGAGGCCCCACCTTCTCATACTATCACCTTGGGGGTTAGGATTTCAACGGATGAATTTGGGGCAAAACATACATTCAGACCATAGCACCCACCCGGGGAGCACAGAGGCTGGGGTCGGCTGTCTCTGCTGCTGGACCAGTGCTGAAAGGAGCTGGGAACATCAAGGAAGCTCCACGCCCTCCCTCCTCCTGCATCCCAGGCTCCTGCCTGCTCACTGCTGGGAGGGCCTGGGAGGGCAGCACCCAAACCAGAGCATCTGCAGGGTGGGGCTGAGAGCCGAGAGATGAGGGGCGGACACCTGACCTGGTCGTCTGGTCACCTTCCACTCTCCTCCATGCCACGGACTTGCTGGGAGGCCTGGCACTAGTCCTGGAAGGAGTCCCCAGTCTGGATTCTGGATCCATCTGGGTCCCTTGCGTCCAACCTGTGCCTCTGCCCCTCTACTTCCTGTAGTTGGAGGTTGGATCGCACTTCCCAGTCCTTCCTGCGCAGCACAGGGTGCCTCACAGTGTCTGCCTGTCTCAGGTGGGCTGGCCTGACCCTGTATTCTCAGCTCCCCATCACCACGGGGACCCGCCTGACCACCTTCCCCTATCAGAGCTGCAGAGTAGCCGGCTTCTACTCCGTCCCCACTCAGCGTCCAGGGGCTGAGTTCTCTCGGAGGAACCCCCCCCATTCATTTAGGTCTCATTTGGTTTCTCTGAAAGAAGTTCATACCAAAAAGCCAGCACAGAAGTTAAATTCTCTGCCTCTGTCTGTCAGTGGCGAGTGGGTGCGCCCTGGGAACTCGCTCGAGTGGCAGAGGGGGTCGAGCTGCCCTCCCACTGCACCAGCGCCCTGCTCCTCCTCCTGCCTTGCTGCCGGCCCAGGGCTTCGCGTGTGCTTGACGTGACCCAGGTCAGGCTCAGTCTTCTGTGACAGCCGGCAGGTGCTCACACGGCCTGGAGTTGGCTGGATGAAGCCTCTGTGCCCCCGTCCTGGCCCAGAGCCCCCCTTCCCTTCAGCGAGGGTGGGGTGAGGGACCAGCATCCCTGATGTGCCAATCCTGGCCTGCCCCTCCACTTCCTGTCCCCTCCCTGGGCACATCATTTATCTTGTCACCCAGTTCATCTGGACTGTTCGGGGTGACTACTTTCGCACGGGACATACACATTTTTTATTACTGTATTTCTGTTTTGGGGGTCATTAGGTCTACTTTTCTATTATTATTAGGGGTTTTGTTGGGGTTTTTTGCTTGTTTGTTTGTTCAGTAGAGGTACTGGGGATTGAACCCAGGATTTCGTGCATGCTGAGCATGAGCTCTACCATTTGAGCTATACCCTCCCTCCCCAAGGGATATACACGTTCTTTAAGAAAGAAAAAAGCTGTACATCCACACCGGTGTTCCCCATTCAGATTTTAAGTTTACAGTGAGCCAGAAAGAGAGGAAAATGCCATATGGTATCACTTGTATGTGGAATCTAAAAAAGGACAGAAATGAACTTATGCACAAAACAGAAACAGACTCACGGGCACAGAGAACAAAGTAATGTTTACCAGGAATAAAGAGGGTGGGAAGGGATAAATTAGGAATTCAAAAACTGCAGCTCTCGCGGAGTGATGGAAATGGTAGCTGTCTTGATTGTGGTGGTGGTTTCATGGATGCATACATCTATCAGAATTCATCAAATTGTACATCTGAAATATCTGTAGTTCACTGTACAGGAACCATACCACAATAAAAGTGTTTAAAAAATGTTCTCGTTTACAAATTTTTTTACTTAAATTCTTGGATTTTACCTCTTTTAAGATGAAAACTTATTTAACATTATTTGCTTTATTCTACGGGACACATATTTCATAATAATAATTTGTTTTGGGGGTAGGCAATTAGGTTTATATACTTACTTCCTTATTTTAATGGAAGCACTGGGGATTGAACCCTGGACCTGTGCATGCTAAGCACAAGCTCTACCACTGAGCTCTACCCTCCCCCACTATAGTATTTTTATTAACAATAAGACTACTGACTGAAGTTTGATTTTTTTTTTGCTATTGTTTTTACGGCTTTCTCACTGAAGATATAAAGTTAAAATATTGTTTGGAATCGGGGGAGAGGATAGCTCAGTGGTGGAGTGCCTGCTTAGCATGCACGGGGCCCTAGGCTCAATGTCCACTACCTCTGTTAAAATAAATAAGCAAATAAATAGACCTAACTACCTCCCCTAACAAAATAAAAATAAATAAAATATAGTTTGGAATAATTGGTTTCTCTGGGTGCTTTATGTCGCCAACTTGACATAAAAACCCATTCGTTTATTTTAATTTCTGCACATTGACTGTTGCATTAAGTCCACTTTACTTATGCAGAATCTCCCACGTGGCCTTATCATCAAACCCGTAAAGCAAGTCAAATTTTCGCCCTGTGGGCGTAGACCCAGCCGCGGATCGTGCCGCCAGGCGGCCCTGCCACAGCTCATCCACAGGTACCCTGACGCTGGGCACCAGCGCTGTCTCCAGTCTCTGCTAATCACATTAACGCCGCGACGGATTACTTCCTGCACATGTCGTTTTGGACTTTGGCCTGTGTGTCTCCGGGGTAGACTTCTAGAAGCAGAACTGCCAGGCCAGGGGAAATGCCTGTGTGACTGTCCGGGTTCTGCCCCTCGCCTCACACGGGCTGCCCCCTTTGCACCCCACAGCAAGGGGCAGGGCCCCTGCTCCCATCAACCTGATAGGTGGGGAGTGGGTCCTGGGGGAGCTGAGTTTGCATTTCTCCTTCTGTCTTTCTCTTCTTGATGTTTTGAAGTTGACGAGCTCTTTTGAGTTACAAATGTTAACCCTAATATTCCTGAGTTTAAATTATAATCTTTCATGGAGGTGAAGTGGACTGTTACAGCATGAAGGCCGCCACTCTGAAGTGCACCAGGGTGTTTGGCTGACTGGCACCTGGAGCACTCACAGCACCGTGCGACCGTCACCTCTGTCGGCTTCCGAAGTGGCTGTTGCCCCCAGAAGACACCGCGTCCCTGTAGGACAGTCACCCCACTCTGCCTACCCCCGCCCGTGACGACCACTACTGTTTCCTGTCTCAAGTTGTATTTTTGAAAATGTTAAATGTTATAAACTTCTTCTTCCTGTAAGTGTTTTGTCTTTAATCATTCCTGGATTTTGAATCGCATTGAGGAAGTTTCTGCCCACTTCACAGTTACAAAGAAATTCACCCGTTTTCCCTAACACTTGTTCCATTTTTACGCTTTCTTTGATCCAGTTGGAATCTGTCTTGTGTCTAGTGTGATGTGCAGGTTCCCGGTCATCACAGCTTTGCTGACAGCCAGCCTCACCCACTGCGTCAGGGGCTGGGCCCCCAGGCCCGGGCTGTATCCAGGGCCTGCCCTTTCCCAGCGACAGACGCAACGCAGCACCAGTGGTGCAGCTGCAGGCAGGCCCAGACCCTCCCCGTTTCTCTTCTTCTGAAGGGCTTTCCTGGCTGTTTCTGCCTTTCTTCCCCCGTCATGTGAACTTCATAATTAGCTTCTTTAGATCCAGAGGGGAAAATCCATTCTGGTACTTTCTTGCAGATTACGCTAAATTTGCAAACTTACAGCGAATGGGCCTCTTCAAGAGGTGGCTTTCCTTTTATCTGCTCCGGGCTAGGGCGTGTCTGAGGACTGTTCAGAACCCCCTCACCGAGGGTTCCGTTTATGCCCAGGGCCGTCTCTTCCTGCTGCTGTTGGAAGCGTTCGTCCCCACCGCACCTCCTACCCCAGCACGTGTGAGGACTACCCATCTCTGCCGCTTCTCTGAATTCTCTCCCTGTAACATCACCCCTGACGCTGGAAACACACCAGAGGGCTGACCAAGAGAGCGACAGGAAGCAGGGGCGCGGCAGCCCCTTCCTCTCCCTTCCCGCCCTCCTGCCGACTTCCTTCCCTCCCTCCACCGGCCAGGCTTCCCGCCCCTGGGGTCCCCTCTCCCAAGCAGCGCTGGGGAGGCCATGCCCTGCCCTCAGGGAGGAAGCCGAGGACAGGGCCCCTGTGGGGGTGCCGGGGCGGGAGGCGGGCCACGGGGCGAGGGGAGGGCCGCTGCCCCTGGTGCACAGAGGCCGTGCGCTGGGGACTCCGCACCAGGGGGCCGGATGGGAAGGCAGCCAGGGCCTTAGCACATTCTGGTCACCCTGGGTCCTACAGAAAGGCAAACGGGGCGGGGAGGCCAGGTCCTGGCCCGCCCTGCGGTGGACCTGAGGGCGGAGGAATGACTGAGGAGCATGGAGAGCAGGGCTGCCCGTGTGCGTGAGTGCGTGCATGCGTGTGGCAGCGTGACAGCACACATGTGCATGTGGGAGCGTGTGCACGTGCACGCGTGAGTGCCCCATTGCGGCCCAGGGAAGCACAAGGCAGCCCCAGTCAGGGAGGACCCTGGGGGTACTCTGCTCCGTGTTTCATCACGTTATCCTCTGCCCTCTGTCCGGTCCCTGGTGTCCTAGGAGGACAGGCGCAAGGAAAGCAGACAGGGTTGCTCTCCGTTTGCCATGAAACTTTATTGGGACCGAACACACACACACACCGTCCACCTTGTTCACGGACCCTGGTATTCATCGGTCAGGTGTGAGGCCTGGAGCCCCCCACCCGGGTCCCTGCCCCACGAGGGCTCTGCCACGGGTGGAGATGCACTCACTCCAGAAGTGGATGCAGCAAACACGTGAGCCTTCTGCTCTGTTGGTGGGGTCAGGAAGACCCCCCTGTTCCTCCAGCCTTGGCAGAGCCAGAGTCACCTTCAGGCCAAGTGTCCAGGGCCCCATGCCCATGAGGACCGAGGCCGGCTCGTGTCCTGATGTGGTCCCTACACGGACGGGACCCCGGCATCAAGTGAGAGCTTCCTGTTCCTGGCTGCTTTCCTCTGGGGCCTGGGAGGTGACCCTGACTTTCCGGCTCTAGAAAGAAGGGGACAAGCAGAGGTTGCAAGAGGGGAGCAGTGGGGAGCAGCCCCCTGTCGGCACTGAAGCCCAGCTCCAGGCCCAGGGAAGCCCCCCTCCCAGTCCCCCTTCCGGAGGGCCTGGGTCTGTGGAAGAGGGGCTCAGGGCAGGGCCTCCAGCTTTGACGCAGGGCTCCGAGGGTCTTCCTGGCTGGGAGGGGGTGGAGGACGATGCTTTCGGGGGCCAAGGGCCTCCGGGGTTGGGGGGCCGGGTGGCATCCTCTGCCCAAGCCAGCAGCTCATCTCTCCGGCAGCAGCATGAAGAAGGCAGCCTTCAGGAAGCGGCCACAGCTGCAGAGCGTGGCCACAAGCCAGTGAGAGCGGAGGCCGGGGTCGGTGCTGACCACGCACTTGAGGACGTCCGTCTGAGAGGGAAGAGGGGTCAGTCAGAGAGTGGAGCGCCCTGCCCGGGTGTCAGCTGGGTCAGTTCAGGGAATGTGCGAGGCCATTTAGGGAAAGCGTGTGGTCCAGTCTGGACGGAAGGCTCCACCCAGCTTGGGACCAGACCCAGCAGGAGACTCAGTCGTGGGAGGGAGCTGGCCGGGCCAGCAGGCAGGACACTCCTGAGCAGGAGGGAGCCCTCTGGCCCCCAGGACAGGACTCCAGTGTCCCCAGCTCAGCCACCTGCTGACTGCCCTCTGCTCTCAGGGGCTGCAAACACCCCGGTGTCCTGCTGCGGGCACTGTGCAGCCTGGGTGGCAGGAAAGGACAAAGCCCTCAGCACAGGAGCAGGAACTGAGCTTTCCAGAAGCCCAGTGCATGGCCGCTCCTTTCTTCCTTATTTCTTTCTAGTCCTAAGACATGACACATTACCCCTGCAGCCCACCTTTGGCCAAGGTGTCGAGCATCCCTGTGCCCAGCCCCAGCTGGGCTCCAGGACAGGAAGGCAGGAGGGGACGGAGGGTTGCCCACAGCCACGTTGAGTCATCCAGGAAACAGTACCCTCCCCGCCCAGGGCTGCCTTCAGCTGAGACTGCAGCCCAGCGGCCCACTGACCTCCACCTATGGCTGTGACCTCAGCAGAGGGCTGAGCTGTCGCCCTGGCCAGTGGGGCCACACGCCTTCACCCACCAGCCACTTTACAGAGGAGAAAACAGCTCTCCTGTGGCCTCCACGCCCAGGGCCGGGCACACGATTGTGGGCAAGGAGGCAGCATGGGGCGTGACTGCGACAGCAACCCTGCAGGGGCTCTGGGGCAGCGGGTTTTAGCTGTGGAGTCAGGGCCTGGGGGGCTGCAGGGAACAGGTCCACCCTGCAGCTGGGCTGCAAGGACCCCTGGCCTCGTCCCTCTCCTGGTGTCCTTGTTCCCCTCCTCCAACCCCACCACCCCATCGCTGCCAGCGCTCGGTGTTCGACTATTGCCCGCCTGCCTGGCACCCTTGCACCCCTCCCCCCTCACCCATCCGCCGCGCCTTCGCAGCCAGGTGGCCAGGGTCTTGCGCACGAACTCCCCGAGGCAGTCGACGAGGGCGTGGACCATGGCAGGCTGGGCCTGCCGCACGCAGTCCACGGCCAGCCCCGCGGCCACGGAGTACAGGGACACCACCTTGCCCCACGTGATGCCTGCAGGGGGAGATGGACGCCGGTCAGCAGAAGGCCACCAAAGCACAGCTCAAGTCCAGCCCACGGGGTCATGTGCAGCCATCTCACTGATGACTGGGGTCAGCACTCAGGGGGCCAGCCCCACCCACAGCCACAGCTCCCCACCAGAAGGGGTGCTCCATCAGCTTGCTGCCCACCCTCACAGGTGGTTCTCAGGTGAAGATTTCCTGAGCCTCCACTCCACACCTGCACACCTGTACGCCTCTGCACCTGCACACCTGTGCCAGAGCCTAGTGATGACCCCGCCCAGCCCACCGTCCACTGGAGGAAGTGGTGGAACAGAAAGGCAAACAGGGAACGGGAGGTCGAGGGGGGCTGATGCCTGGTGCGATAAACAGGAGGTGGTGTCACGGTGCACCTGCCCTGGCTTGTTGTCCCCTGATGATCCGTAGGGACAATAGGGTGTTTTCCATATAAAGAGGCTGAGGCCCTGGGAGGAGCGACCTCCCCGACCACTAAGCCACTGAGAGGCAGAGCTGAGACAGAGCTGGCCCGGGACGACAGGCCCCCTGGGGAAGAGCGCTTCCCTAGCAGAGACAGAGATCTCGTAAATCAAAGAGAAAAAGAGAGACCTCTCAGGTAAACACAGAACAAGAACAGCCCACTCACAAAAAAAAGGTACAAATGATACACTAGACGAGTGAAAAGCGCTCTTCCTCACTCACACCCAGAGAAGCGCAAGCTAAGGGAGATGTAAAAACTGCAGCCTATCAGGTTAAAACTCCAGTCACACAGCGGGGACCCAGGCAGCCCTGCAGCCCGGTGACTGATGGGGAAGGGCTGGCGGGCACTCGGCAGCACCTGTGGAAGGACTGAACACACGCAGGCCAGCGACGGCGCCCGCGGGAAGCGGCACCTGCCAGAGCAAGTGAGCTCCCAGCCCACCTCCAAGCCGCAGCTGGACCACCTGTTACAAGAGCACGAGTCGGCACGAAGAAATGCCTGTTCACCAACATCCACGGCAGCCCTGTTCACAGTCAGCGAGGGTGGAAATGACAAAAGACACGGTGAATGAAAAAGCAAAACGTGGTCTGACCGCACGACGGCATCAAAGAGGAAGGCCACGCTGACACCGGCTGAGACCTGCGTGAACCTCGGAAATGTCACGTTCGGTAAAAGCAGCGGCTCCAAAGGCCACGTGCTGTGCAGGTCCATTCAGACCAAATGTCCGGAACCATCAGGCCCGTGGAGACAGAAAGAGACCAGGGAGGGCTGAGGCCGGGGGCTGGGGCGTGGACGCGTGACGGCGGCGTGATTGCGGGTGCTCTGAGTTCTTCCGGGAGACAGAGAAGTGGAGGCTGCGTGGCACTGCGTGCACCACTGCCACCAAAGTGTTCGGTGGAAAATGCTGACTGTGTACACCAGACACTAACACTGTAGATCATCTTCAGTAAAAATGTAAGAAAAATGCTAACTGTATGTTATGTGAACTTCACTGCAATGAAAAGAAAGTTTAACACCCCATAAATCAGGCCATGTCACTCCCCTGCTTAAACCCCTCCTGTTACAGTCACTTTCCGTCTTCTAAAATGAATCCAAGACTGAGATCCCGCCCAAGCAGGCCCCTTTCCTGCCCCCGCTCCTCCTCGAGCACGCTATTCCAGCCCCACGGCTGCCTGTGGTGCTCGCCCACCCCCGGGGTGGTTCAAGGTCCTCCCTCCAAGTGCCACCCAGGGCACAAGGATGTCACACCACACTCCCCGTTTACCAGCTGCTCCCAGCGCCTGCCTGGCGGTGGGCTCTGTTCTGCCCACAGCAGGGCCCTTGGCACCCAGCAGGCACCCAGCAGGTACCCAGCACCACCAGAGGTGAAGGGTCTACAGAGGAGGGTGGGACAAGGAAATGATGTCCAGATCACCCACCGCGGGATCTGCAGAGAGAGGCTGGCTGTCCCCCGAGACGTGTGACCGCCACAAGCACTGGTCAGGAGGCTGCCAGCAGGGTGGTCTCCAGGGGAGGGCCTCGGGTGTGTTCTGTTTTCTTTGAGCTCTTCATGTTTTCTTTATTTTTTCTGGAGATATAATCTTACTACCATAAATTCATCCTTTTAAAACGTGACATCCGACCTTTTTAGCATATTGACAAGGTTGAACCATCTCCACTGTCGAATTTCAGGACATTTCCATACTCCTGAGTCCCTGTCCCCGGGAGCATCAGGCCCTTATCTCCTGGTCCCTAGAAACCTCTGATCTACTGTCTCCCTGGAGATGCCTGTTCTGGATGTTTCATACCAGCGGACTCACACAACACGCCCCGTTGTGTGTCTGACTCCTTTCTCTGAGCAGAATGGTTTCAAGGTTCCTCCACGTTGTTGGGTCTGTGGACACCTCACTCCTTCCTGCCGCTGAGTCACATACCATCACGTGGGTGGACCATGTTTTGCTTATCCATCCATCAGGTGATGACACATGGGGTGTGGCCCTTCGGCTGGTACAGATGCACTGCTCCGAACGTTCGCGTCCAAGTCCTCGTGCGGACACCTGGCTTCACGTCGTGGGTCACATGGGCAAGACTGAGGAGCGGACCTGCAGGGTCACGTGGTGGCTGCATCAGGTCAAACCACTAGAGAAACTGACAGACCGTCTTCCACGGCAGCTGCACCTCACCCACACTTGGGGCTCTCTGGTTCCAGGCTCCAGCTGTCCTGTGGGTGTGAGGCAGGGTCCTGGTGGGGTCTGATGCACGTCTCCCTGGCGACTGAGGTGCTGAGTGCTTCCCACGCACTTACCGCCCATCTAGACGTCTTCCTTGAATAAACGTCTACTCAGAGCCTTCACTCATGTTTAAATGAGGTTGTCTTTTTAGCACTGATTTCTAAGATTGCTTTATCTTGCGTATTTTCTGATCTTTAAGTGATAAAATGTTTCATTCTTGTAATAAGAAGGAAAAAACAGAAACACTTGCCAACTCTGTTTTTCCACTGAAGGGAACTGAGACACCCCTTCAGCGAAGATGCAGCCACAGCCAGGGCTGGTGAGGGGGCTGCCAGGAGGAAGGGGGGGAGGTCCAGCCTGGGGGTCAGAGTGTGTGAGGTCCAGCTGCTTGGGAGAGGCCACGGGTGGAGGGTTGGGGCCTGCAAGCATCTGATGGCGGGAGCTCGCCTTGTGGATAGAGGGTCCGTGGACACTGAGGCTGGGATGGACAAGGAGACCTCAGCGGGCAGTAAGCAGGAGGGTGGGAGGGGCAGCCCCATGTTGGCCAAGGGGGGCGGTCTGAGGGCCAGTTAGCAGCAGAAGCGAGTGGACCCGCAACCCTCTGCTCCGTGGAGCTTGCTCCTACTCCCTTTTCCAGGGGCTCCGAGGTCCAGAGAGGTTAAGAAACCATATGCAGGTCACACAGCCCACACCAGGGCAGGTGGGGGTGTGGAGGCTGGCCCAAGAAAAGGGTGCCAGTGCTGGGGGGTAGGGGTGCTTGAACATGGAGGGGTACGTCCTGCTTCAGAGATTTAAACTGACCTCTTTACAAGTGAAAGAACCGAGCAGCCTGTGCCCATTCATGGCAGCCACACGCTCCTTCATGCCCCTTCCCTCCTCTCCCTCCCAGGCCCTGCCCTGTCCTCCCAGAACCCAGAGCCCTCCTGGGCACCTCTCAGGCCCATCCCCGCACTGAGAGGGCTGGGCAGGCAAGGGTGGGTGCTTTGACCCACCCCCCCCTCCCCGCTTGTCCCCTGTCCACACACCCGCCACCACCCTGGAGCCCGGCCCCCCTCCGCATTCAGTTCCAACCACCAGCAGGGCCAAGCTGCATCCTCAGAGATGACCCATCCTTTTAAAGCCAGGCCTCAGCTTGTAAACCAGCCACCAGCCTGACAGCCCAGAGGCAGACACGGGCAGCCACCCACGCGCCGGTGTCAGGCTGGGACCAGGAGCCCAGGGAGGCCTGAGGGCAGCTGTCAGCCCTGGACGCCCGCTGTACCCTCCTTCCTTCCTGGGCCCCACCCCTTCGCTGCCTCCTCCACTGGCCCTGGCCGGGTCACCGCGAGGTCTGCTCCCCACTGCCACCCCCCACCCCCAGGCCCACGTCAGGACTGTCAGGCCCACCCAGAGCCCATCCGGGCCCTCCCCTGGGACGTCCTGGCCATGCTGACTGCTGACAGGAGGTCAGTGCTGACCCAGGGCTACCCGGGAGGAGGGGGCTCTGCGTCCAGTGGTCCTGTGCCCCCTCCACACTGGCCACAACCGAGGGAGGCCTAGCTTGCCAGGCCCTGCTCGGCCCCCAGTTGTCTGGCCTGCCCACCAGGGGTCGGAGGAGCCTCCTTGGGAGAGGACCCTGGAGATCATCCAGAGGAGGGGTCAGAGGGGCTGGGGGTGCGGCAGCCCCTCCACTGAGCATCCTTTCTTCTGCAGGGGAGGGCAGGGGGACGGCCCCCCCAGGGCATGGGCTGTTTTCAGGTGATGGGGACTGGGGCTCCCCCCAGGATCCTCTGCTCCAAAGCCCTGCCCTGCTGCTGTCCCAACCGTCCCACAGATGAAGAGAGGCGAGGGCTGTGCTGGAGTCACACTGCTGGTCAGGCACAGAACAGAGCCGCCTCACAGGCAGGGGCTCGTGGCTTCCCTGCTGCCTGGGGCCTCTCCTCCTCCTGGTGGCCCTCCCCACACTCGATGCCACATGGCCACTCCCACCCCCACACCAGCTGGGCTGGCTCTAGGGCCCCCAAGCCCCCTCCCAGAGGGCTAGGACTGGACGTCACAAGGTCCCTGGGCCAGAGCAGCACCGTGTGGTGCCGGGGAGCCACCTGTGGGACCGGCAGATAGAGAAGCTGCTGCACTCCATCTGCACAGGGGTGGGGCCAGGGTCACCTGGACGGCTGGCAGGGCCTGGCATCTGCTACGGACCAGGTCGCGGGAATGAGGCGACTCGCCGAGCATGGGGCGCCAGAACAGGGCAGGGGGTCACAGGTGGGCAGGTGAGCCCAGGGAACGGGAGGGGCTTCATGGGGGGGTAGCTCCTAATGCCTCCCTGAGCCTGGAGGCACATACGCAGACAGGAAGCAGCGGGAGCAGACATCACCTGCTCCTGGGGCACAGACGGAGGCTCTGGAGATTCACAGGTGAAACAGGTGTGTCGCTGTTCCCAGTGACGTCCCAGTGAGCCACTCCACCAGGACTCACACTCCAGGGCCTCCCTCTCACCCACATGGGGCTGTTCTGTGACTTGCCTCTGACCAACAGAATTTGGCAGTGATACTGACTTCTCAAGTCATAAGAGCTGGGCAGCACCTACCTGCGCTGCTTGGGACCTGGAACCACGCTGTGAGAGAAGCCCAAGCCCCGGAGGCCACATGCAGGAACAGCTCGGCCCCAGTGCAGCCAACAGCTGGGACAAATCGGCAGCCTGCGACGTGCAGCCCAGCCAGGACCTCAGGTCCCTCCAGCCCCAGCTAATGCCTGACCAGAACTGCACGAGAGGCCCCATGCCAGCTGCCCGGCGGGCCCACTGTCTCAGACCAGGGGAGGAACCATCCATCACCGTCTGAGTTGCAGTTTGGGGCTGGTTTGTTATGCAGCGGGAAAGCATGTGTCGGCGCTGGGCGGCTCCCCTGTGAGCCCACCCAGTGCTGCAGCCCCTGCCCTGACCCACAGACCCTGGGCCAGTTGGTGCTGTGGGCACCTTGGCATGGACATGCAGGCCTACCTGCAGAGAAGATCTGGGCCGCCACAGCCAGGAAGGCGTCAGTCACTACGGTCTCGGACTGCAGGGAGATGTTCAGCTGGCGGGCCACGTTGCGGTAGATACTGGGCCGGATCAGCTCCAGCTCATCCGCTGTGTGGACACATGGGAAGACCAGCTGTGGTCACACAGGCAAGGAGCAGCCCACAGCTCGGCCCGTGGTCACAGCTGACCTCCCCCCCTGCTGAGCCGCCATGATCCCTGACCTCCCCCACCAACACGCCACCCACCCCACTTGACACCCCGCCCATGGACCCTGGGGACAAGACCAGGGAGGTACAGTGGGCACCCCCAGACCTGCCTCTGGGGCCTGCCCCTTCTGACAAGCCAGCCACGCCTCCCTCTCCCACTCTGGGCAGAGCCGGCTGGGCCGGTGGGGCGGGAATCCCAGGCCATGCCTGATCGGTGACTCACAGCCCACAGCAAGCTGCCCAGGCGGGCAGGCGGCAGTCTGACAGGCAAGCGGCCAGAGCCCAGCACGGGCAGGGACCGCGCCGGCGACCCCACACAGGTGGGTCGCCCAGCCAACACTGCCTCAGAGGGGTGTCCTCACCCAGGACCCAGCACCACTCGGTGAGCCAAGAAGTGGAGCCCCTGCCCGGGTCCACGGCACCACCCAGGGACAAACCTGGGTTCCAGGTGCCAAGCAGGGGCATCCAAGGGGGCGGCCACACTCAGCAGAGGGAGGCCCTCTCAAGGGCCCCGTCTGTGCGCGCACTCACTGCCCTGGCAGTGCTGTGCCCGGAGTCCCACATGCCCAGGACTGGGAGTCCCCCAGCCCAGCCGCTTCTCCAGCCAAAGCAAACAGGGAAACGCCACCGCCTGGAGGTCCCGCGATAAGGGCGCTGAAGCGCCCCTGGGGCCAGCTGCACTCCGTCTAATTAAGACCTGGAACCAGGGCAGAACTGAGGCAAGGCTGGCGGAGTGATGCGGGAGGAGGCCTGGAAATTCCCAGGGCTTCCCACGCACAGACCCCGGGGGCTCCCGGGGACTGGCCCCAAGAGACTGACCATGGGAACTCAACCTGGGCTTCTTCCTGTTTGCGGCTGCCCTGGGAGCTGGGTGTCTGTGCTGAGGAGGGGTTGGGGGTATGCTGGGGCAGGGTCGGGTGGGGGTCATGCTGAGCAGCTGCAAGGGCGGATACAACAGTCCACATGAATGAGAACACTTTGGGGCTCCAAGCCATCTCCCTCCCGGGCCCGTTAGCCGTCTGTCAGGCACTGAGCCCCAGGGACTGGCCATGGTGAAGCCGGACGTTGGAGAAGGGCCTTGAAGGCCTGGCCCCCTGAGAGGAACAGCACGAGGGCCCTTGGGCCCTTGACTCGTCCCTGCTCCCTGAGCCCCAGCCAGAAACGTCCCAAGCTCTCAGGGTCTGATGTCACAGCTCTGAGGGGACAGAAGCCAACCGGCCTGATAAGCAGAGCCCAAAGCAGGACTTCAGACAAGTTCAAACAACAGGGACCCAGGGCCCTGCTCTCAGATGAGGAGATGGAAGCTGGGGCGGTAGTGTCACAGAGCAGGCAGGGACGGAGGCAGGACTCCCTCCTGCCCACTCCAGCAGTCCCAGGCAGGGGGGCTCGCAGGAGGCCAGGAAACCATATTCTCCAGGGCCCTCTAGAACACTCCCCCAGTGCTGTCCCCACAGCCCAACTGGAAGAAATGGCAGTGGGCCCTGACCTCACGTGAGTCCAGGTACTCTGGACCCTTGGCTGGTCCCCAGCCCCACCTGCTCTCCACACCTAGAAAACTCTCCCCTGTCCCAAGGTCAGTGGGTACCACTCTTGCCAGCGGCCCTCTGTGCTGGCCCCACAGCATCTGTGTGTCTCCTCCACCACACTCCTGGGCAGGCCAGGGCTACACAGCCCTGCTTCCAGGGACAAGCAGACACTAGTGCCAGGCTGAAGAGGCAAGCATCCCCCTTCATGGGGCATTTCCTCCAACCCGGGATCCGGGGATAGCCTCTTTCCGCACTCTGCCTGCGGAGCCACCGGGTAAGGGCTCCATTTATACCACCAAGCCCCCACCATGTGCACACTCTGGGCATGGCACTGGATGGATCTGGGGAGTACAGCCTCAGTCACGGTGGTGAAGTGGACTGACTGAGTCAGCTGGACTGGTCCCTCCCTCTCTGGGATCTTTGGAGGAGGTGGACAGTTACTGGGCTGTGTGACCCCAGAAACAAGTACCCCCGATGTCTACCCAACAAGCCATTCAAGTGAGATTTTTGGCTACCCAGCTTCAGCGGGGGTTCAGCTCTCCTGGGGCACTCAATTTCCACAGGGAGCCCTAGGAGAGCTCCAAATCAAGAGGAAAAAAAGCAGGATTTCAGCCAGTAACTGCAAGGATCTATTTTCCAAAACAAATATGGGGACACGTGGTCCGACAAAGGATTTTTCTGTCCAGCTGAGTACAAGGGTCACTCTGAAAGTTCAGCCACCAAAACATTCTTCTTCTCGGAGCTTTCTATCCTTTATGCCAGAATGCCTGGAATCTGGACTGAGCAGGCCAATCTGGGGAGGTCTGCCGGGTGAGCAGGCGGGTGAGGATGACCAGGAAAACACAGGGAGTGGAGGCAGCACAGGACAGCGCGCTAGGCTCCTCCTTCTCCGGGCACCCCGGGGCCAGCCCCTTCTGCACCGAGGGGAGACGTGAGGCTTGCAGGGGCGGGTGCTGGCCGGGTCACCCGGTGGGCGGGCCACTGCGGGGACAGCTGTACCCTGAGGCGCAGCAGGCCCCGCCCCAAGGACCAGCTCGGGAGGGGCAGCCTGGGG